GCCCGTGTACAACGTTGGGCTCTGATCCTATCGGCCTATGAATATGAGATTGTTTACAAGAAGGGTTGTGATATGGCCAATGCCGATGGGCTTTCAAGGTTACCATGCCAAATTGAGAAGCCGGGACCGGAAAACACAGTTGCGTTTTTCTCCATAGAAAAACGCATTTCCTCCATTTTTCTCCATTGTGCAAAAGTCAATGTTTATTTCTAACATCTATTTAATTGTCTGATTTGTGCAGGTAAAATTTTGAGCAGTTTTTTACATCTATAATATGCAAAACAAAACATCAAAATAACATTAGTGTTATGTTATGAGGGCTCAGTTAATTTAAATGATGTGTTAGACACTCAGACAGAATGTTCATGCAAGGTTCAATCCTAGGTCCTCTCTTATTCCTCACATATATTAATAATTTACCTTTTCATTTTTCAAGTCAAATCTGTAACTTTACCCTTTATGCAGATGATACAACAGCTCTCATCAGACGAAGTACTGTTAAAATGTTAAAATGTACTGTTAAATGATGAAGCCAAAGAAACAATTGGAGAAATAGCAAATTGGTTTTTAAAAAATGGCTTACTCTTGAATGAAGATGAAACTAGTGTTTTTATTTTCAAATTGAGAAATTCAACCACTGGAACAGAAACTACTGCCTCCCCTACAAATGTAGTAAAGTTTTTAGGAATGTATTTGGATAGTAAACTACAATGGACAGAGCATATAATATTATAGGTAGAGTATTATAGCTCTGTACAGAGCATACTGTACATTTTATGTACCTGACGCATGAATGAACATTCTAGGAATATTTCAATAAAGATTTTGTCTATTGTCTATTGTCTATATTAATTTTCTAAACAAAAAACTTAGTCCAACAAGATATGCTTTAAGTGTTTTAATTCAGGTTACCTCCTTGGAAGTATGTAAAAATGTTTATTATGCTTATGTGTAGGCCTACTCTATTTTAAGCTATGGTATTACATTATGAGGGACAGCCACAGATGTCCACAAAGTTTTAAAAAAACAAAAGTCAATTATCAGAACTCTTGCAAATTGCCCCAAAAAACATCATGTAGACAATTGTTTCGAAATTTTAAAAATGGTTCATGGAAATCCTGGTATGTTTCAAAATTATAATCACTCATATAATACCCGAAGACAAGACATTTTTCAATACCCCACTCATAATTTTAAAAAAATATATGAAACAAGTCCTCTCTATATGGGTTTAAAAATTTACAATAAAATTCCAAACTCCTTAAAGCAATTAAACTTAGCAAAATTTGAAAATTTAAAGACAAAATCAAAACAGTTTTAGTAGAAAAAGTACACTCTTGAGGAATTTTTCAATGACTCCTGGTACCAGACACCCATTCTCTCATCAACCTCTCCTAACATAAACAGTAATAACATGCTGCACCTTACTGGCTAAATCTTAGGTTTTTTATATATTTAGAATTCCTTTTTTATTAGAAACCTTGACAATGTACCTCTCTGTGTATTACGTTTGTAATAACTGTAACAGATGTTATGTGCAATAAAGAATTGTCATTTATTTGTCATTTGTCATATTAAACTGTCTTCAAGAAGAACTGGTAATATTGGAATGAATATAAATTTGAAATAAAAACTTCTCACCAATATTTTCAGAGTTTTTGACTTCATGAGGCCTTTCGAGAGCTATACTGGCATTATCAGACACATCACAAAACAAAAATTTTGTGATGTGTCTGATGATGCCAGCATAGCTGGCGAAGGGCTTCATGAAATAAAAAATTCTAAAAGTATTGGTGAAGTTTTTATTTCAAATTTATATATGAAACTGTATTACTTTTTAACTTTAAATAGTTTGGCCATTCGAGATGCACCTTTGCGCATGCGCTAGACAAAACTCCCACCGCGGTAGTTTAAAAAAATCGCTCGGCAAGCGGGCGCGCTGTAGTGCGGTGTGACTTGGCACATTTGATAACATGGTAAGCGATTTTTCAAAATTCGCTCCCGCCATGGTAGCGAGCTCGGTGTGACTTGGCCTTTTAGCTTCCCACTATGGCGTCTCGCACAAACAAGTTGGTTGTAATTTGTTATGGTTCTTTAATTATCGACTTGAATTGTAATATATCACATGTAATTCACAGTTTTAGTTAACATGTTAAGGTACAATTCTTTACTTAAATTTAAAGATCAAAATCCTAACCAATTGTTTATTTAAACAGCCGGTCAATTACTGGTTCACAAACTAGGGTATAACCAGTGAATGACAATTTGGGTCATTAACTAGATTTGGGTCAATTTTCTTTATTTTTATATTTATGATGTTTTCTGATGGAGTAAGTGATTGCTAGGAAACACAAAATCTCATCAGAAATTATGTGGCTACACTATAACCAAAATTTGAATGCGAGTTCAATCTTACAGTCATTTCCAAGATAAAAAGTGATCTTTCACTTGAACCTACATATATTTTATTCGGTGTAAAGGAGGAGTTTTAATACAATTTTTAAAATTGTTAATATGCTGTCATTTACTGGTGCAATGATTTATGTGTAAACATTTTTTTTTTCAAAACTTTGTTTGAATATAATAGATTAAGTTGTATCATTAGCACAGGGAAATATGGGCAATACATTCAAACGATTTCCTACAATGTAGCTTAGTAGTATATTTTCCCATGTCGGATACAAGTAGAAAGTCAACCATAAATGGTCATTCACTGGTGCAATCACCCTGAATTGAAATTCAGTGCATAGAGGAATAACGCTACAACCTATTTTGGGAAAAAATTACTTTTTTTACAGGGTGTCCACAGAAAATTTGTCATTGATTTCCACGACTTTTCCATGACTATCCATGACCATTTACCATTGATTTCCCTGACTCACGAACTTTACTCGAAATTATAATGTAACATACACACACAAAATACTGCCTAGACAAGTTATTTCACAGAAAATACTGAAATATGTATTAACAGATAACAATGGAGTAATACATTTTGTAAAAATATGGTATTCAAAATATGGAAGGAAAAAAGAAAACCAAGTCTACTCCGTCCCCATAGCTGGCCAAGTTCACTCTACACTTTCTTTTTTTCCTTACTGTATACTTTTTATTATTAATTTTTTATTGAGTTTACAGTGTTTCCAAAAATTAGCTTAACAAAAAAGACATAACTTAAGACAAATCAGAACATTATAACAATATTTGTATTGCAATTTGAGTTGTAATAATGAAGTTGTAACATTTTAATATACTGTACACTACTGTTGCAACAATATCCTACAAATATTAAATTAAATTATAAGATAAAGTAGGTACAGATTGTATTGAACTATTACAAACTCGAAACTCTCATCAACTAATACAAACACTGTAATAAATCGAAGTGTTGTGAAGTTATGAAAAATTCTGAAAAAAGCTACAATAGTCGGCGTTACGGCTGACTAGAGAATTAAGTCCTGTCAAATCCATCCATCATTGGAGATTTCCATGACTTTCCCTGACTATCCCTGACTTTCCAGAATGTGGACACCCTGTTTTATCATGTGTGGTTTTAAAGTGGCAGCAATTAAAAATCTTCACTAAGCTTAAATACCATAAAAACTACCAGGGTTGCCACCACAGTGGGATGATAAAATTCATGCAGAATTCATGATTTTCATTGGTAGTTTACAAAAAATTCATGGTCGATGCGCTTATACAATTTCAACACAATTCAGTTTTGCTGATTTCATAAACTGACGTTAAAGAGGCAGTTTCTTTGTGTGTTATTTTTTTTTTTAATAACCTTTCATACTTAATATACAACTTTTTTACAGTGATTTATAAACATTCAAAACAAAGTTGAAAACAAAACTGGCCAGCTCATATTCTATATGAGATATTGGAGAAGAATTGTAAAATATATTAAGTCTAGGTCTGATTCAGTCTTTCCACCGGAATTAAACAAAAATCCCACTCACCCAGCCAAAAAAGTACTGTTTCATCCAGTTTTATACCCCTACATAATTGTCATAAAATGTGCATTCTGGTTTATCTTATTCCACATTGTACTAAGATACATCCTACACTCATCTCCATTCAAACTTGGCTTAAAATACCTACTATGTATGGTCGCCATTTCATAAAAAGTATAAAAAAGTAAAGTATGATGGTTTTATCCAAAAAGCTAAGAAAATCAGGCGTCAGTCGGAAATTCGGTTTTATTGCCCACCCCGTTTCAATTCCGTGCATGGTCTAAAACTTCTGTTTTTGTGATTTAAGTCCCTTATACCTCTTTTTCATATGCGGGGGGTAGGCCTACTAATGATTTTTCGAACCATATACAGTCCTCGGGAAGTCTCAGCTGACATCAGCATCTTTGAATGACTTGGAATGAAATAAGCAATTGTTTCTGACCGTGGAACATGTTAAATAATCATCTGCACACAGTATTTTCATGGTGTTTGTTTCTATGAACTGTTTTTAAACATGAAATTTTTTTTTTTGGAAAATGTTATGGTACTGGTTGAATAATTGTTGTTCCTGATTTTGAAAATTCATGGTCCATTTGAGAAATCCATGCATAATCCATGCCTTTTTTCATGGTCACAAGAATTCATGCATAATTCAAGCTTTTCAAGGTTTTCATGGCTGGTGGCAACCCTGACTACAAAAATAAACAAGACTACAGTTTTAATATTTTATTTAGACAATTTTATTAGAATTGTAAGAATACGAAATTTAAGAAAATCTGTTCATAAATGAGATATGAAGCCCATTTTTTTAAGATAATGTGTATTTTTAGGTTTAAATGCATATAGTAAATTCATATGTATTTCTCAATTGTTTTTTGCATACCTATCTGACAATCTGATAATAATATAATTTTAAAATAGGATTTTAAGTATTTATATCAAATCAATACCCAATTATATCAGTTTATTATAAAACAAAAATTAGAAGTATTTAACTTTAAAATCCACAAATACATAAAATTATATACTAGGTACTCTACTCACCTGGCACTAGATGAGGAGTTGGAGGTCCTCTTGACGTCGTCGTCTGATGAGTCAGAGGAAGAGGATGAGGACCTAGGTTTGCCACGGGGCCTAGGTCGTAGCTGAGGAGAGGCTAGGGCTCCTCGGTCTAATGGAGATGAAGCTGCAGGTGACTCGGATCCAGACCTACACATCAGACAACTGAGCTCACAGCATTGTTGTAAGTGGGAGCCACACATATATTGCAATGTTCATGTCAAATGTTCTTCCTGCGTTTATTATTTAATTTAATTGTATAATATCTATTTACTTGCTGTGTTTTAAAAGATGAATGCACTTTCTTGTTATTTGAGTTCCTTTACATAAAGTGTTATTACAGTAGACTCCTTCTTATCCGGACACCTTTTAACCGGACTACACTCGGCAGAAATGACATCTCTTTAACTGGAAAGTTTTTATCAGCACATCGGTTTAACCAGACTAGATCGGCTCGAAGTGTGCGGTACTGAAACAACTGTTCTCGTGGGAAAGATTTGAGACCAGTGATCACGTGTCTAAATACAATGTTCTCCTAAATTTAAGTCAAATAGTGTATACACTACAGTATGCATTTAAATGGTCTGTTGTAACGAGTTTTTGGGGATGTCGGTTCAACCGGAAAACCCGTTATCCGGACTGGCCTCGGTCCCAAGGAGTTCGGATAAGAGGCAGTCTACTGTAATGTCTAATCACTCCTTAGAAAATCACCAAACTTTTAATATAGTATTGATTATTTATTGGCTTATCAAAATATTAATAACAAATTTCTATTCAGTAAATAACTCCATATAACCAAATTTAATCATATAAATAGTTCTTAATCACTACGGTATAATGTTAAGATAGCCTATATGTTTGTTGTAAAAGTGTTACAAGTATTTTAAATAATTTCATATTACACTTATACTTATTTTAAATTCACACCACAAATTTTTAATTCAGTGTTTATGTATGAGCTAATTATCGGTACTTACAATCCATGTAAACATAACTTTTGATTAGGGCTGTATGGACTTTCCTATAGAAGAGTAATTTATTGTTTCGAGCATTGAAGAATCCAAATTACGTTAACATTGTAATCAACATTTTCAAACATCACCCCCCCCCCCCAAAACACCCATACATCACACACACACATACAGAAAAGCATTCATAAACACATTCACTTCTTTTCAGTAAAAAAATGAGGAAAATTTTAAGAAATTCAAAAACCAACTTAAAAGATTTCTTATAGGCCATGAATTTTATAATTTAGGAATATATAACAACTTAGCTTAAAACTTAGTTTTTTAATTTTTATTATTTAATAATTGAATGTATGAATTTGTCCAATTAGTAGCATGTAAACAACAAAATTAATTAATAATTTTATTTTGTGTATAAGAAATTGCAGTACCGGTAAATGTTCTTGTATATGTTAGTTTTATTATTAGACTAAAAAATCTAAAATAACAATGACACAATCAGGTTAAGCTTATGTGTTGAATAAAGATATATTTGATTTGAAAAAGTACAATGAGCTACCATACAAAGAACTCTTTCAGTGATATTTAGGAACAATCATATTTAGCCAATTTATTACTCAACCTTAAATTACAGATGGAAAATTTGAGCTTAACAAATGTATTCATAACAAAATAAAATAATATAATGCTTAACACGTTCGCTACCGAGCGACGCACATTTGCGTCGGTCCGGTCACTCCTACAGACCGAAAGGAATGATCATGACGTTGCTTACAGACCAAGTGATATAGGAATAACATTGCCGACAGACTAAAAGAGAAATATCGTTTAAATGGACTAATTGACTTCATATTAACCTTAAGTGAATTAGTAAGCAATAAATATTGTTTTATTTATCGTTTTGAGCAAATTTTAAAACGCCGCATATATGCGTCGGTCAGTCTATTCAATGAAATCCGGTTAAAAAGATGGGTTTTTAGGCCTAGTAGGGCTATTGCGTTTCATGATCAAGCTTTTACACAAACAAATAAAGAAACTCCACTTAACACTTACTAGCCAAAACTGCAAAGGTTAGAGCGTTTACATCTGTTCTGTGATGTCGCGGAATACACAATGTAAACAACAATGTTGCCAACTGTTGTGTGACGTAACCAATCGTCATATCCACAGACCAAGCGACGCACATTTGCGGCAGATATCCCTCTAGACCGATACGATAAAATCAGGGCTTTAAAATAGACCGTTGCTAAGAAATACGCTGCTTAGTAACATTAGAACACCGACGCAAATGTGCGTCGTTAGTCTATTTCAATGTGACCAGCTGACGCAAATATGCGTCGGTGGTCTATTGTGAGAAAAGAGTCGACGCACAATTGCGTCACTGGTCTATGCGAACGTAAATTCCATATAATTGTGGTAGCGAACGTGTTAATGCACTTTTGAATGTTATGCTTTGTTGTCAATTGTCATGATGCCTAACACACCCACTGTTGAAAATGGTCTGTATTGTTAATTAAAAATGATTCAATCTTGTTACATATATAAAAAAAACAGCATTGAAACATGCAAAGACATCAAAACTAATGATAAGCAAGTGTCTATATTCTTATGATGAAATACACACCTTGCCTTGGGACCATTGACAGCTCCCCTGGGTAGCAAAACATTCATAGGAGGAGAGGTTCCCTTGTTTTCACTTGGTCTCTCAACTTGTTTTGTATCTTGTGATTCTGTATTTGTTAAATGTTTATCTTCATTATCATTTCCAGGCATTGTCTTCTCTTCTTTACTCAGTTTTTTGGATTCCTCGGTTGTCCAATCTTTGGTAACAGGTTTTGGCAATTTTTTCTCTAATGATTCCTTAGCTTTTGCGGCCAATCCAGACTTCAGTATCCTGTCATAAGTGGTAGTTTAGTAATCTTAGTATAAGAAGGAAAGGCTTACCAAATAAAAACTTGTCAAAAGTTATTTAAAAGTTCTGTTTGAAGGAAAAATAACAAAGATAAAAGGAATAATGTACTGGTACTGTAGTAGTAATTGTTAAAAGTATCATTTGACATATCCATATTAAATCAACAATCATTAGAACATATCAGTTCTCTTTCTCCTCTTCTTTCAAGTAAACAAATCAAAGAAGGCCAAATACTTTTTGTCAGTACTGGTTTACAACATAATATGTAAGAAATCTAAAATAGAGGGGAAATTAAGCAAATATCTTTTTTAGAAAACAAATATTCTTTTTCTCAATTTAGTTCTTATGAATATGTCTAACAACTAACTATGATGTAATTTTCAAAACGTATACATTGGCAAAACTACTCTGGAACACCAAGTCACATTTCATAGAAATTAGAAAGTGTGTGGAATAGTTTTTAAATAGAACTGTTGGTGGCATGATGGAAAATAATTACATGTAGGCCTACTATCATCTCTGATGCATTTTTAACTATGATACTCCACAATGAAAACAATTTTGTGTACTGCTCTTTAATTCCCATTAGACATTTTTTTTGTTCTGGTACGCTAGGCACGAGCCTGGGATTGTTTTTCACATTACTTCAGACTAGACCTAGGGGTTGCGGCATTATCACTTGGATAAAATCCATTGGTGACTTAGCGTGGATCGAACCCGGGACCTCAGGGACTGAAGTCCCGCGCTCTAACCACTAGGCCAGCTCGCTCCCCTTTAGACAATAAAAAAAGAGTCTTATGAAATTATTTTAAGTCTTCTATAATAAGGGAAATGTTTGTGAGGTTAATGAGGAGCAGCTCACTGATTATTTCAATCACGCCAGACAAAAAGACTTACTAAAACAGGGTTCCCATAACGACTTTAATATTAATTTGAAGAGTTGGTCAATATAAAGATTAAAAAGATTTTGAGATGTTCTGAAAAAAAAAAATAAACTGTATGTAATTTATAATTATCTGTTAAATGAAATAAAATTTTAATAAACGGTATCAGCATTCTGACACATACTTTCTTCCATAAGCTCGTCAACAACCTTTATCATGGGTAAGCTGTAAGAGTAAATATGATATTTTATAGTTAAAAATGACAAAAGTTGCAATAACTTTTGAACCAAATAACTAATTGTTACACCAATGGAGTGTCATATTTTTAGAATTATAAGGACCGTAACATATTAATTTTGATCAAAACCAGCTTTTCTACAAAAATCCAATTTTTGTTGTTGTTATTTTATGGTTTTTGTTATGGGAAAAAACATAAGTTACAATAACTTTTGAACTGTCAGGATTTGTACCATTTTTTTCAGAATTTAAAGGACTATAACATACTAAATTTTTAAGAAAACATTTGTGCCATTTTCGAGAAAATCCAAAGAGGAATGTGTGCCTAAACTGTGGATATAAAATTTAAGAGTCATTGCCACCATGGAAGCAGATAAACATGTCATCACATCGCCACGAACGCTGCAGATGATTACGATTTCACCGTAATCCAGGCACAACAAAGTATCAATAATCAATGTTTCTTAAAACCATCGGAATCAAAAGTTGTGTGGAACTGAAGATTTGAATGGGCACATCCATATTTTTAAGGTGACCACAAAACGGATTATCTCAGGTTTTTTTTGTTTACAAAATTGACGGTTGATTTACGGTTTTGAGATTTTCCAAATTGAGTGGTAACCGTGTAAAAAAATAAATGAACAATTTGTTGAACTTACCTCAAAGTTCTTAACTCCTTTTCACGCTCATCTTCGGTTTCATCTTTATCTTTATCATCAACATTTTCTTCCTCACTAGATTCATGCAATCTAACCACAGGTTTGGGAAGGACATCAGCGTAGCGTTCAGGGTTTCTCTCAGCCGGTGAATAACTCAAACTCGAACTACCGGAGCTATTTCTTCTCTTTTTTTTCCCAGGTTTATTGCGAGATATGGATCTACTTCTTCTAGCTCTCTGAGACCTGCTTCTACTCCGAGATTTGATTTTGGGTCTAGAGCTACTTCTACTACGATTTTTTGGTGAGGTTTGTTTGGATCTACTTCGGCTTTTTGAATCATAAATACCCTTTAAGTTATTACTGCTTTTTATTTTAGACACTTTAGATTTGGACCTACTTCTGCTTCTTGATCTAGAAGAACCATGTGGGGACTTGGTTTTGTTGGATTTTTTGTATCTTTTCAAAGACCGACTTCGACTTCGGGAACTTCTTTTTGATGTGGCTTTGCTACTAGCATTATGATTTCTTTCAGCAGGAGACATCCCTTTCGGCTTCCTTGCTTTGTAAGGGCTTTTAGATTTTTCTCTTCTAGGAGATTTCTTTCTTTCTGTTTCATCTCTAGAATTATACCTCCCGTACTTTAAATCTCGACTAGAAGACTTTTCTCGATAACTGTACGACCTACTTCGGCTTCGAGAAGTTTTCCTTGTGTTAGAGGATATTTTCTCTTTCCGATTACTATCTTTAGTGTTTTTGTATGGAGATGGAGATTTACTCCTGTTTTTATTTCGTTTATTCTTATAGGGACTTGGGCTTCGACTCTGTTTACGATGAGGTTTTTCTCTAGACCTAGATCTTGAAACACTTCTTAAAAACCTTTTCTCAGGACTCATGTAAGATCGTTTTAACTTTTTTAATTTGCTATTTAATAAAGTTCTGTCCAATGAGGGGCTCTTGCTTTTTCTCCTCCTTTTTAGTTTATCTTTACTCACTGACCTTGACCTACTTTTTACTTTGCGGGAAGTTGAACTTGTTACTTTTCCCCGAACATTGGAGGACTGGCTTCTACTTCGTGATTTTCTATGCAACACAGGGGATTTTTGGTTCTTGGAAGACTGGTCTACTTTCTTTTCTGTATCACTGCTACTTCGCCTCTTCTTAGACTTTGTTTTATCTTCTTTAGTTAATCCTTTTTTTTTCAAATTGGTACGGCTTTTTTCAACTACAGAATCGGGTGAGCTGTAAAAGTTTTAAAATGGTAGTGATAGGTAAAATGTGCAAAGTTTCATTGTATGAGAAAAAACTGAAAATGTTATGATACGGACCACTTTAAAATGGATGCGTACACTGTTATAAAACTAGGGTGGTCTGCCGTTACACTTTAGACGCAAAAATGAGCGAAGCATTATTTAAAGATTGTCAATGGCTAAAGCAGCTAATAACCTACAATATGTTCCCTATAAACAGATTCACCGTTTGTTTGCCCGATATTATTTAAGTTCTAAAGAATGACAAATTTATCTGATAGTATGTGAACAAAATCATTGACTTGTAGTTGGTGTAGCGCTTCATCACTAATGGTTATGTTAAAATAGAATGGGTTATTTGCCTTCAGCCAAATAAGTGCTTGCTGTAGTTTTTCACTTCGAACTTTGAAATCAATATGGCCAAAGACGCCTTGACGTTGGACAATGATTACTTTTAAGTTTTCGGGCAGTGTAGGTAAGACAGATGCTATTTCATTAATATCTTGCTCAACATTAATTATGTTACCTTTGTAATGAAACTGGCCATCCTGACCATTTACTTTGTAAATGCGCATAGCGGGATGTACTCGTGCAATCAACATTTGTTCTACAATCGTCAGGTCAGTAAATTCTTTCGGGACACTTGACACATCCATATTATTTAACGCCGTGAATTTAGTTGCTTTTGAACGACAACGAGAACAAATCGGTGATTGGTTTGAAGCTGTTAGTTGTTGGCGATGACAGTTAGTGCAAGTGTAAAATTTTAGTGCATCTAATTTATGTTGGAATTGATTAGCTAACTGCCTATCATTATCAGCTTCTTCTGCCACTGCTTCATCTGGTTCTTCTTGTTCACGACGCCACTCTCTTACAATATTTGCATTATTGGTGCGACGACCAATATTACGACGTGGCCTTTGAGGCATGCTCAAAACAAATATAGCAAAACGGTTACTTCCATTGATAAACTGTTACTTTCCAACTTTAACCTAGGATGAAAGTAAACATTGAAATGTAAACAAAACAGTTACAAACAATTAACATATTTTTATCTTATTTAAATTAAACGAAATAAACCCATATGTCATAAACCCAATATAATTTTTCTTTCAACTCACATTAAAATAACAAGCGAAATTGCGTGACCCGTAAAACAAAATCCAGAAGGAAATTTGCAAATATTTTTTACCAAAACATTGTGCTCAGTATTCTTTAGCTGTTGGCCAAATTTCATATCAATTGGTCAAGCCATTACATTCTGATGCTCTTCCAAAGAAGTTACAAAGTGAGGGAAAGTGAGCTTCGCTCAATTAGAACACAAAAATTATCTCAAAATATAACCAAGAGGTTTGGACATTTTATAAAAAAATTATGTATAGTTGGAAACATTAAAAGTAAATTATCTGGAAAGTAAAAACAAATTACTTTTAGGGCACTAGATTCTTAGTTTCAGAACTGGAGTAAAAAAATCAACCACTAAATGCCACCCATCTAGTATATGTGTTTAAAGTAGGGATGTGTGGAATCTCGATACCACTGATACTTGGTATCGGTATCAAGAATTGATTGTCAAAAATCGATGCCGCTACCAATACGCATCTGGGAAGATCGCACAAACGTAAAATTTCCGCTTTTGCCGCAACTGTGCATGACGAGGATGAAATTTCTGTGACCGCGGGAGACAATAATGATGTCTACACGAGCGTGGGAGATGGTCCGGATGTTACCCTCATCGAGGAAAGCTATGATGATGTTTTTGTTACTGCGGGGAATTTTCAGGATTTTTCCATGACCTCGGGAGGCAATGATGAGGTCTAAGCGACTGGGGGAAATTATGAGAATTTTGTCATGATCACAGAAGACAATGATAATTTGGCACACGACTGGCGGATATATTCATGATTTTGCCGTGACTGTGAGATACAATGACGGTGTCTACACAACTGCAGGAAATGATCAGAATTTTGCCGCGATTGTGGATGACGATCATAATGTCTACATGACAGCGGGACATGTTCAAGATTTTGCCGTTACAGCGGAGCCATATTCAGGATATTGCCGTGGAAGATGGTGATGATGTTTCCATGACAGTGTAATGGGCCTAAATGGTTAGGGGGGTAATTTCAGAAGGTGTTGTTACCAGGTTAAACTACTAATTGAAGACCTCAGTTTACCTGGTGTTGGTAGAGGAAGAGATCCCGCCGTAACCGTGGAGTCATGACGACGATCGTGCCGTGACCGTGGAGTCATAACAGCGATCCCGCCGTGACCGTGAGTCATATCGACGATCGCGCCGTGAGACTGATGTTAAATTGCATTATTGTTTTTTATAGATCAGTGCCACATACGGTAAAAATTCATTTCGTTTGTCATTTTTAATACCAACTACTCAAGACTTTAAAACAAAAAATTTTTTTGCACAGGAAAAATCCCGTCCCGTCCTGAAAAATTGGGAAGGAAATAAAAATCCAGTCCCGTCCCGAACTAAAAATTCAATCCTGTCCACCCCTAGTTTAAAGCATAGAAATAAAAGCTAAAATGGTAGATGCAGTGTAGTCAAACCTCATTTGTACAAAATTTTTCTGTAGAATTGATACTAAGACTTTCGTAACTTGCGTTCACAGAACTATGCCTAGGTCGGGTTAAAACAGGCAATTATGAAAATATGTAAAATACCGTTTAAATCCAAGTTTTCTTATATAATATATATATATATATATATACTGTATAGTATAATAAATGAAATAAACGGTATCAGCATTCTGACACATACTTTCTCCCATAAGTTTGTCAACAACCTTTATCATGTGTAAGCGGTGAGAGTAAATATACGGAATGGGATTTGTAAAATATTGTTCATAATTTAAAGGACTATAACATACTAAATTTTTAATAAAATCATTCGGGCCATTTTTGAGAAAATTCTTTTTTTCCGGTATTTTATGGATTTTTTTATGGGAAAATAACATAATTTACAATAACTTTTTAACCGTATTTTTTACAGAAATGGGATTTGTACCATTTTGTTCAGAATATAAAGGACTGTAACATACTAAATTTTTATCAAAATTGTTCGGGCCATTTTTGGGAAAAATTATATTTTCCCATTACTTTATGGGGTTTTATGGGAAAATCCCCATTAAAAATCAAAATCTCTAAAAAATGAAAAAAAAAAACTATCAAAATTGTAAGGACCATAACATAGCCTACTATGTTAAATCAAAACCGGATTTTTTCTAAAATCTTATTTTTTGTTATTTTATGGGGGTTTTATGGGAAAATATAACATAATTTACAATAACTTTTGAACAGTAATTTTTACAGAAATGGGAAATGTACCATTTTGTTCATAATGTAAAGCGCTGGAACATACTAAATTTTTATCAAAATTGTTCGGGCCATTTCTGAGAAAATACAATTTTTCTGAATCTTTTTATGGGTTTTTATGGCAAAATCCCCTTTAAAAATCAAAATTTTAAAAAAATTAAAAAAAAACACCTGGAGATACTATAGATTAGAACCTATATACCAAATTTCATCGAAATCGGAACACTGGTGTAGTCCCTAGCTCTGTACACACCCAGACACACAGACACACACACACACACACACATCACTTCGAAAAACACTTTTTGGGTCCAGGGGGCCCAAAACGAATATATCCACTCAAACTAAAAAATTTTGACAAAAACAATACTTTCTCCATATACTATGGCATAGGGGGAGAAAGTAAAAATTAGATGAATATATCAATACTTAATTTTGCAATTTTTTATATACTGTACTCCTGCTCAAGCAAGTCCTGAAAAGAATTTGTGTATGTACATTGATACCTGTGACTAACTCTTACATACTCAAGTAATGTACATTTTACTCTTTAAAATAATAGTCTTTAGAATATCTTGGTCGAAAAAAGTTACCAAGTTTAATTTGAACCACGCTGATAATTTTAACTGCATTTGTAAAAAGACACGCACAATTTAAAGAAAATGTTGTACACATTTAGTGACGTACAATCATGCATACAGATTTTCTTGAAGAGTAAATGTTTTGTTCCATTTTGAATCTTTTAAGAGTCTTCTTCACCCTGCGTTTTGGGGATATGACATTGGGGGGAAGGTGTTGTAGACAGGAGGGTAGCGCGGGGTCATTATGCGCGCCATTATGAAAACATCGTAAACGCACTACTTCTAAATAGACACGACGGTGATTCATCTGCCACCTGAGCCAAGTTTTGTAAAAGGGTAGTAGCAAAGTAGCCTCCAACAAAACATGTTAATTTCGTCCCCCGTTTTGAAGACCGTTTTTCAACAGATGTTCTTGAAATTTGGTATCAATGTGGTTGAATAGTTATATTAGAGCTCTTATACCTTAAAAGGTTGAAAATGAAAAAATAATTAGTTTTATAAGTGTTTAAAAGTGACTCAACTTACGTTACATTAAGATTTTTTTGTTATTGATTTTCTTGGATATATAAGAATAAATATATAATAATTCAACGAGTTATTATATACATAGTTATTGTATAGCCCTTTCTATGAGGGCCCTAGAACCAACATTAATCTGTAAGGCTATTTGCACACACACCGATATTGGACGGTCGGTAAAAAGTAGGTCGATATTTTACCGGTGTTAGGCTATTCAAATTCAAATTCAAATTCAAATTCAAATTGTTTATTTGGCCATTAAACATACATAATAGGCTATGTCAATACATAATTCAACAAAATAAAAATAAAACCATCGTCAGAGATTGGTTAACAATAAAATCAAACCATGCTTAGTTTTAAGCTTATTAAGGCTTATTGCACACACACCAGATTTTTACTGGCGAAACGATCAGTTGCTTTGTTGTTCAAGGACGAGACCATATCTATATATCTAATTCTGTAAGCCCAAAATTTTACAATGAAATTGTGAGCTAACGGGAGGCCGTAGAAAGCTGGGAGAGGTCTCATTTTAAAGGTCTGGGCATGAAATTTTGGGGAAAATTATTCATTTTTCATAATCTTGCACCAAAAAGTTGCTACGGAATAAAATAATTCACATTGAAATAGCATGGGAATCTAGGTCATGTCTGCTTTGTTTACTTTTAAACATGTGGTTTAACTTTATTTAAAGCATATGGTATGTAATGTCATTACTTTAATATGTGTAGGATACTATTTATAAAGCTGATATAAACTTTTTCCCAAATTTAAGGGTCTGGAGTTAATGAAGTACGATTGGTTGTGTAGGTATGTCTGAAATAAGTGTAAAGATAGAAGTAATTACTGGAGTAGGCAAAGGGGACATATTTTTCATGCCAAAAATTAAACTAATATCTACAGATCTTCATTATGCCGTTTAAGTTTACAAGGATTCAATGCCCATTGGAAATAGCTTTCACTATTATTATAAATAAAGTGCAAGGCCAAACCTTCACAAAAGTTGGCATTTATTTGAAAAAAACCAGTGTTAACATACACAAATGTTAAACGATAATTCAAGGTAACCCACATGTAATTTGTACAAAATAGTTACTAAAATATACATATAGGGGCTATTGCCCCTACAAGCCACTAGTTTTTACTAATTACCCAATTAATTATTAATTATTTAATTAATAATTTAATTTAATTTAATAATTTAGGTCTAATTTATTAATTTATTTAGTAATTAGATTATACTAATAAATCCTAAAAGAGTTGTTGCTATGTGGCTTGATAGCAGTAAAATTTTCTACTATTTCAGAATGTCAATAGCATTCTTATCTATAAAGTCACCCATTTAAAAAGTTATAAACACGCACTACCAAAACTAATCAAAAGTTTCAGAAGAGCAGTCGCCTTAAATGGAGAATGGTGTAGCGAGAACTGCCGATATGATCGGTAAAAAATCGGTGCGTGTGCAAGCTTGTATTAAGTACTGTACGTCACTGCGTCGCCGGCACATCCCCGGCACCGGCGGTATGCAGTGGCAGTGGCCGGCTGCTCATCGGCATTTTACCGGCGCCGATCAACGGTCGGCGTGTGTGCAAGGTCCCGTTCCCGCCTGTAGTTTACTATTGGAATTTGGACGACCGGTAAAAAATCGGTTAACTAGTTAGTAGTTAGTAGTTACTCCAAGTAAGTTAGAGAAGAATTTCTGCACTAGAATTTATTGTTAAACGAATATCTAATGTATGCAGCTTGGTCATAGTAGGAGAACAACAATATTATGAAGATGGATACACACAACTGATAGGTAGAGGGAATATTTTGAGGTCTATCAAATTTTATAATCAGTTTAAGAGGTCTAAAATCTGCTTTTTACTTTTTATACATTGGGACTAAGACCAATCCCTACAAATCTTCATTATTTTACAGAATAATTTATTTCCTTGATATGATGATATTACTTACCTATCTCTAGAGGATTTTGAATCGGATCTTGATTTATTTTTCAGTCCAGCCCCCTTGGTTTTCTGCACAGAGAAAACATCGCTGACTTAGCCAAACTTTAAAATTATAATTTTTTTTAAACACATAATAGTCATAAGATATTAACTTGAGGAAGCCCCTCAATTATGGAAAAAAATAAATAGTTAGGTGATAATATGTCAGTGCAGACACATAAGAACATGATGGAAAATGAAGTGCATGCACTTACAAACAAAAATTTAAAAATGGCAAAGGTAAAGTGAAACTCAAACTATCCAATAATAACACACATTAATTTCTGCATTCACATTGAAACCAAATACTTTTAATACCTTTATTTCAACACTGTTAACGTACCTTGTTTATGCCTGGAGAAAGGTTATGAGTCAAGAACAAAAACCTATATCAGTAAACTAAATTGGCTAGCAGAGCAATAAAAGTTGAACATAAAAAATGGTATTATGAAAGTCATGCAAATGCTGAATACCTCAAACGCTCAGCTCTCATGTATGTGTCAATAAACTTAACAATACAATACAATAATGATTTAAATTCTCCTAATAACCCGTATGATTTTTTGAGAAGGTAATCTATTTAGCAAACTTTACTTAGAGTAAAGAAATAGCTCGGGATGATGTAACTCATAACTTTCAAAACTTTGACGAAATCTATCCAGTCACTACTGGTCATCGATGGATACATGGTATAAAGGTAAAGGTATGAAGATGCAAAAGAATTTAACTAATAAGCTCAGTTTTCAATAGAATATTCTGTTAATGCCAATAATAAAAAGTGTCACAAACTTATTTCACAGAAGGTAACATTTGTTAGAACTAAAAAAAAAATAGTTTAAATAGGAAGAAGGCATATGCCTAATATTTCATATACAATTTCTAAGTTTGAGATGATAAATTTACCTACTTGTAGACATTTAATTCATTTGTCTAATACACACACAGGTATTTGAACATGATATACAACACCAGTCACACAAACTCATGGCTCAAATTAACAGCATGGAGCAACAGCAACAGCAGTCAAACAGATTGTCTAACATATGTGCCCAGTAACGAAACTAACACTGGTGTCATTTTGTACAACTTTAAAACCAGTGCATAGTAGTAATACTATGACATAGTGCTTATGAATCGATTTTATGAGCGTACAATTTACTTGTAAAAAGTGTTGATTACTTTTAATGAAATTTTTTGTAACTTATTACTAAAATATAGTTTTTACTAAAAAACAAACCACAATGTTGAAACGGATAACTACACCATTACACATTTTTACTAATTGTGCTTAACATGATTATGCCTAGTTGGTATAAAAAAAGAGAGTACTCTGATTTCAAGTAACAATAATGGTAAAACTTTAGGTTTGACTTTGTTAAAATTTATTTCCACTAAATCATGAACTGTATCTGGAAAAGAAAACGCCTGCAAAAAACATCAGGAGTTTGCAAAAATACTTTTATCATTACAGATACACTCTAAAACTTTGGCATGGAAGCACATACTTTAATTTTCAAAATGAAAAAAAAATTAATAAATCTTAATAGTATCTAAAATTTTAAAAGTAGGTAACTAGTAGTCAATCTGGTTGATTTATCCAGGTCTATTTAAAGTTTAAATTTGCTTTCCCTACAATTAAAATATCAAATTCTTCAATGGTGTTAATAATCTTTAAATGCAGCATAATTAAAACTATCCTAAACCAACACATACAGCATTTATAAAACACACGTTAAGGTGGATCTTTCTACTTTCGAGTTTGACCTTAGCTGCTATAACTTGACATAGCCATGGCAATATCATGCCATTCTGATCGGAAATGTCCTGCTATTGTTTACGTTTTGTAGATGGCTCGTCCTACTTGCCAATGGTTAGTGGCCAACCTAGTACAAAAGAACCCCAGATATCCGTCCTTGGTTTTACCAGTCCTCTGTTAATTCGGCCTCTTCCAGGAAGCCAATATCAAAATGTTTTTCTCACAGCTTACAGACGTTTAGATGCAAGTACTAGTCTTAGCAACTTGAGTGTTCTCACTATTTATCTGTTTGTTTATACATTTTACTGTGTCACTATACTCAGTTAAGCTAGTAGAAGGCCTAACCTCTTAATAGTTGGTTGATTATTTCAAAGCGCGGTTAGTACGGTACATTAATTTTTGTATTTCACAAAATGGATAAGAAAGTTGAGTAGTAAGTCCTATTGATCTTTAAGACCAATTTATTGTCCTGTTTACCTCCATTATTATTTGATAGTTTTTGTTACCTGGAATCATAATATTTTTACGTTGATTACTTAACAACTTTAGCCTACAAATAAATTTCTTTTTTTTCTTTTTACAAACATGTTTATTTTTCTAAAAATAATCCCAGAACAGAGTTAAATACTTTTGACGGCATATATTGATTACATATCATTATTAGGTATGAACTGTCATTTTCATAGTAGGTTGGTTTATACGGCTAAATCATTATCCAGCCAAGGACTTGGTCACATGGTGGCCGGAAATGAGGGGTTCTACTGTATTGTGTGATTTTCATTTTCCAGGTTATTGCAGATCATTTGTACGTTAAAATAATACTTGTAATAATTGTTTCAAGTTAGTATGCTATTACTTTTTACAAACTAAAATTACTTACTATTATTACTCTACTGTTTACTTAAAACAGAAACATACATTAAATAATCATAAGTATTGTTTTCCGACCAAATAGAAAAAATACGTATAGTTAGACCTAAAACCACCTCAAATAACCCGAGAGCTTGGGACAACCGGGAGTGTATGCCGCACAAACATGAGGTGCCTGCCGTCTAATGCAGAAGTGTGCGGCGCGTCGCTGAGTATAAAAGGAGCCTTACGAGCGAAAGCCAACACCATATAAGCAAAACATATTTTATAGCCATATTTTTGACTACATTTACCATAAGAAGTGTAAATAATCATAAAGGTAGAAAAATTAAATGATTAAAAATTAAAATGTTATTAATTTATACAGTTTTTTTTTCAATTCTTGAAAAGTTTACTTTAGTGGAGTTACACCCTTTTAAAAATACCTGATGCAGTTAAAGACTGAGTCTAAGTTGAACTTTTATTAGTTTTAAGAAATTTAAAAGTACAGTAATTATCATTGGACCCAGCTTAATAAGGTAAGATACAAATACTGTACTTTTTTTTCATTTCTTAAACAATAACATTATAATGTGTAGAATTTTTTAAGTAATTAGCTTTTGTAATGAACATGTTTGGCCAGGTTACACTTTTATTTGGTCCTTATTTGCAGATTTATTACACCACACCCATCAAAATAAGGAAATATATAAAAGTGATATATTTTTAGGCTTTAAAAGTATTTAAGATAATGTTCATAGTTTTATTACATTAATGTTAAGTCATTTAGTTATTTCTATATCGACAAGTGTGCCGAAACTGTTTTAACATTTGATTATTTCAGCTAATGGATTGGTAAAATTGTTTTGTAACAGATACTGAAACATTTAAAAAAACTTCTTTTAAAATGCTCGAAGTAACACTTGAATGCTAAAAACAATGTGTCAGTTGACACATTTTCAGGACTACTTGGAAAACTTTCGAAAACCTGAACAATAATGACGATGAATTTTTAACTACATTTACTGTGAGTGCCTTTATTTAAATTTCAATGTGTTATACAATATTATAACATATGTTTACCTACGACCGTTTTTTAAAGTAGCCATTTCAGTCCAGTTCTTAGAATTGAAAAGTTTCACTTTACAGCTGTTTACTTTCATATCCGCATAGTTTCATTTCATATCCGCATAGTTTTCTCATATCCACACAGGTAACGGACCAATGAGGTTCAAGTATTGAGAGAAAAGAATTAAAATTGTAATGCTTCGAACATCAACTAATCAGCTGATCAGCTGACCAATTTAATTGTTTATCCGACTTGTTCATGTTGATACTCGCGTATTCTTAATTAAGTTGGTGGAAGTCCAAAAATAAATGAAATATTTGCCGAATTGTACCTGATACAATATTATTTATGGTAAGAATGCTGCTAGCAATGTAATATTTAACAAAGTTTAACAAACACGTAATTACAGGAAATCAGCTGATTATACAACAAGTCGTTGCATCACTTTCAGTGGCAATGACAATGCACGAAAACATAACCTCTCTAAAAAGTTATCAGTAGTTATTGTTAGTAATTAAATCCAGATTGATAGTAATTAAAAAACGGTCGTAGGTAAAGTAGTGTACGCAACTCGCGTTAATAGTCTTTACGACACTCGTAGAAGTTTTTAAGGCACGAGCCTTGGCGAGTGCCTTAAATTTTCTACTCGTGTCGTAAAGACTCACTTAACGCAATCGTTGCGTAAACTACTATTATAGTATTAATTTTGACCACCTCTGAATTGTACAAGCACCAGGAGGTTACTACCACCTTACATTCTCAAATGCCACATATATTTATATTATTTATTATTTATTTATTTATTTTACTATCACCTTACATTCTCAAATGCCACAATGTCAGACCAGCTATTTATTTATACAAATATGTCAACAGCTCGGTTCTACAATGTTAGAAGAATAAAGACACCCAAAAATGTTGCCTAATGTTAGTAATGTTTCAAAGTGCCTTCTTAAGCAATGGTTTCTTGTTTCCTCACTTTTCCAATTGTACAAGCATATCCTTGAAAATTGACAACTTTCGGAAACATTAATTTTGTCATCATTCTATGCAGAGTTTTGTCAGCAAACTATGCAAAATGAGCCTTTCTCCCAAACTAGCCCAGGGCTACAGATATTTAATCTTAGAAATAGTATTGATAACTGGAGAAAATATGCTATTAAAACTGGGTAGACAACAGAAATCAGTTAAGTAAATCAACAAACTATTTTTATAAATGATAAAAGAACTATTAACGGTTAGGTGAAAACACAAAAATATACTTACAATTATTGTTCATTTCCTTTGGTTAACGTCCATTATAAAGGCTGGCGTTATTTGCAGAGACAATAGAGTTTCTTTTAATATTTACAACAAGTAACGTTTCAAGATAACAATTCAGTGTTTATCTACTTTCAAAATTAAAATTCATGTCTTTTGACAGGCCTACTACAAATTGGTTTAGTGAGATTTAAAACGATACAAGTAAACATTATGCTTATACCCACGATGCCGCTCCTCCATACTAATATTTATAAAACTTGTAAAAGTGTTGTGTACATTCAGTTTTTAAATTGAAAATCAAAGATTTTTTGCAGTTTGGTAAAAATATTTGAGTTAATCTTTGATTCAAGGCCTAAGTTTTCAGGTTAGCATGTAAATTGTCAGTGCTTGAAAAGGATGGTTTGAAATTGTAAGTTTATGTTGCAAAACCACTGAAACATTTAGTCATAAGAAATTTTCTTTGCTCATATAAAAATATTAGTATAGAGGGATTTTTATTGCTAAGGACTTTTTTGTACTTTAGCAACAGCGAGATTACATTTTTACAATAAATACGAAGATAAATGAACATTTTCCAAGGTTAAGTTTTTGCTCTTGTAGCTAGGTAATTTACACTACTGAATTATTGTGTTTAGGTAGTTTAGATATAGTAGCATGATACTATTAATTATAAAACTATATCTACATAGGTCAAGTAAGAATATTTAATAATTGGTAAGTAAATGCATAATAAGTCTGAACCAAATCAATATTTTCGCATCAGGATTATTATTTAAAGGACTTATTTTAAAATAACTTGTAGACCTGATAAAAAAGTTTACATATTGTGACATTACTAATCAAAGAAACAAAAAACCATGGTGATGAATTGACCAATTTGATATTTTAAATGGTTACGGTTAACTTGATGGTCGTGTTTTCAAAAGTTGAAAACTAAATTCATTATTTTAATTTTTAGTTTAAATTATCATCTACAACACATTTAAAAGTGAAGAGTAAAACCTGACCTTGAAACTATTCATTTCTTATAAATAGATTCATGTGTCTATGATTTTAAATAGTCACCTCAGTAACCTTTGATGATTTCTTTTTGGGCTTCCTCTTTTCTTCATCGCTACAACAAAATGGGAAAAATCAGTTAACTAGTGTTACTTTTATCAAAAATATTAACTGTGCCTTATTTGCTTTTCAAACAACTTAAAAGAGATTTCCAAGCAAGGCTTGGTATCAAACCTAAAAAAAATGTGACACTGTGATTCAGGCAGGTATGCTCCAGCACTCCAGCGGTCTCAGAATTACTGTTTGAGATTTGTCTATGGTCTGCAGCTTGAGGAGCATATCACGCCATACTACCTTGAGGCAAACATCTTGAAATTAAATTATCAAAGATCCATCAAAAATTATTCATTGGCTTTTTAAATATTGAAAACAGGCTCACTTAAATATATTACATCCGATTTTAAAATTGTGTCTCAGAGTAGTTCTTGAATTTCTTGTTCTTCTTCGATCACAATGTGTAATACCTCATCATGTGACCACAACTTATGACAGTTTGTGGCAGCACTAAAAAATCTCTACTTTGAGCAAATGATCTCGGCTGGTGTGTCCTAAGGCTTCTGTGACTCTAGGCGATTACTGGTGCATGTGGATTGTGTGATTGTGTTTTTTAATAATTATTATTTATAATTATTATTATTGCATTGTTGTTTCATTTGTTCTTAATTTGTTAAATATGTAGATTTATATTAAATTGAGAAATCTTATTTAATAATTTTATTTCTGTATATTTACGTGTGTCAGGTTAAGGACATGTAGCCCTAACTTTGCCTGGTAATATCAAGAATTTTTCATCTCATTTCATAACCGAGTCAAAAATAGTAGCCGTTCAAAGGTTTCTGTAATCTGCCATTATGAATCTTTATCATTTGAAGGGCTGCCATTTTTAATCAGTTGTTATTTTGAGGTTGAATTTGCGGCAGTGCATTCTAATAATAAAGCCCTTTATTTGATGTGAAAATCAACCTATGCAAATGTTTTTGATTTTCTTCCTACTTATAGCGGGCGCCCCCCTGAGGAGGTAGTGTATAATATCATTGAAAATTCAATGCTTAGTTGTCATTTTGGACTCAATTGTACGTTTTTAGTTTGAGTTTGCAGCATTGTATTTTACTAACACAGATCTTTATTTTGATGTGCTTATTAACTTATGCTTACATTGAAGATTTTCTTTTGACTCCTAGCGGGGTCATCCCTCTGAATATGTAGTGCATCACTGAATAATGAGTTAAAATAATTGCTATGCCCTGTATAACTGTGTACCAAGTTTTGATGCTCTATCTTTATTACTTATTGAAGTATTTAACTGTCCCGGGACTTTTTTCATCCTGTATATAAATAAAACACACCATAAAACATAAAGATTTCCTATTAAACAAATTTAAAATAGGACTCCAACCATCCGAATAAATTAGAACTGTATCTTATTTGAATAGTAAAAATTACAAAAATAAATGTTTGGAGTTTTACCAAAATATAGGGCATTTTGTAGAAAATAAGCCAAGTCAAGCAAAGCAATGGGTAGCAGTAATGGTATCCATACTTTACGCTCAATTTTTTATACCGATAAAGTACTTATTTCGAGGGTATCAGTATCGAGAATCGACACATCCCTAATATATGTATATATATTGCATACAATCGGTCAGTACATTTACTGACAGAGTCAGATATTTACCTAATCTGCATTGATAAACACAATCACTTGATTGATTGGGAAGAATAAGACAATAATTGTTTGGTAGGGTAAAAAATCCTGATTATTAGGGTGAAACAAAACAGACATTTACCTGCTTGATTGAGAAGAGTCAGATTGGGAGTCCGTAGAAGATGATGAGGTACGAGACCGTTTTTTCTTTTTCTTTTTTTCCTTAGATGATGAACGTTTCTTTTTTGAGCTTCTCTTTTCTGATTCAGCTCTGAAAATGTTATCCACATTTTAGGTTTTGCATAGTTTTTTGAACAGTACTTACATTTTTACTTAGGCTACTTTATAATTACGGATACATAGTTAATAAAAAAACTATAGGCCTAATAAAGTTCACCCAACGCCCATTGATGTGTGTATCATACAGTGTGTAAATTAAGTCTTGAAACAAATCTGTATTTTTTAAACCGAAATAGATAGAAATACAGTGGAACCTTGATAAGAAGACCCTCGATAACAAGCCACTTTTGATAACAAGTGCAAAAAAAAGTGATAAAAAGTGTTGGTTGTGTTGCTAGTCTAGCGGTTAGCGTCTCGGACTTCGGTGCGGGAGGGACGGGTTCAATCCCCGGCACATCCACTAAACATTTATCTCTCGTAACTCTCTCGTGAAATGCCACTGGCATTGAAAAAAAGTGCAATTTTCAAATCCCCTTGAAATAATTTTACCCCTAACCACATGTTATTGCAAACCTCAATAAAAAGTCAACCTTGATAACAAGTAGGCCTATTATTTAATAATCCCCAAGAGAGTCTTGTTGTTGAGGTTCTACTGTATTCTGTTTGTAGTGTTGATTGTTAACAAAGGTCCTGTAATTTTTTACATCAAAAATATTTTGTAACCCCCCTAACAGAGTAGGGGGGTAGGGGGTGACTTATTTTTTTGAAATAGCAACCCATATTGCAAGACCCCTCATTTTGAAGGATTTGTCAAAAGAAACACAATGACGCAAACCCGAGGTGGATATCTTACCCCTAGCCATAGTGGCAGGTATTTCAACATTTGATTTACTGTATGTAAAAAAGCACCAATTTCAAAAATATGGAAACAAATCTGTATTTTTAAAACCGTAATTGGTAGAAATATTCTGTTTGTGGAATTAATTCGTTAACACAGGTTCCGCAATTTTTTTACATCAACATAATTTTTTAACATCTTTAACAGGGTAGGGGGTGGGGGTGATTTATTTAAAAAAATAATAACTCCTATTGAGTGACCCCTCATTTTGAAGGGTTTGTCAAAAGAAATACAATTACGGAAATCCGAGGTAGATAATTCATCCCTAGCCTAACTAGAAAGTACTCCAAAATCCTATATATAATACGAGTAAAGTTTGAATACTTGTTACTTCGATCTGGGAATCGGCTCTAACAAAAACGTTTATATTTACGGAATAACTAAGTTCTGTGTCAAAAATAAGTTTTAGACTAGTGGTATAGCCAGGAAAAATCTATTTTCGCCATAATATGAGTACAAACTTTTGAAAATTTAACATGGGCCTTATGAGAAATCATTCCGTCATTATTGTCATTTGTTTAAATTTTAAGACATAACTTGACGTTCTGTACCCACGGGCACCTCAGCTTGCGCATGTGCAGAAAGCTCTTGAAGCACTTTCCGAGGTAACTGTTGTATTCTGATGTGTATTAGCTTCTGACATACAATCTCGTCAACTTCAAAAAGAGAACGACTCGACTTTGATCCAGTTCATTGAATCGTTTCATGTATAAGAATTTGTATTACATTATAAAACTTTCCAGAGTAATGAGTTTCTAATCCATTAAAAAACTATTCTTAGCCTATATTATCCTCAGCTTTATTACTGTTTATTTAATACTTTTGCCAATATAAACGAGCGATATATCTTATTTTTTATATTTTTAATGGTTTTAATAATAATTATCATCACTAAATTACTCTTTTCGTTGGTTGTCGTGTCGTGTCGTTGTCAATTAAGTCGTCTGATTCTGATTGATGTCAGATGTTACACTGAATCGGTCACAGGGATAATAATTAATTGTAACCTACCACTAGCTTACCTAACTAAGTTTGAGTGTTGCAATCAGCAGTGTGGGATGATTGCACTGGATAATTTAGCTATCTATTTCAGAAAAATAAAGTTTAAAATAAATCAAACACTAGGATCTGTTCTTAAGTTTTGGGCAATTTGAGATGGATGCCTTCAGGACTCAGGTTAGCCTAGCCTGAACAACTGGGTTAGTAGCTTGACTTAGTGGTTCATCCATGTTTAGTTTATTAACACTAATCAATACCTAATCTAGATTATACATGCCTTATTCTACTCAGTTTCAAAACTATAATATTATACATAGGCATAAGCCTTAATTTTTGTATTAAATACTGGGTACATCATTAAGGTAACTCGGTTAGGTTGCTTTTTATAAATTAATAATTCCATGAATCACTAATACCCTATATCATCTAGGTGTGTTAAGTACATGATGACACTCTCAAAAAAGTACTAATCCTTACCCACATAAAATATAGGTAGGTAGCTTTAGGACTACAGAGGATGAGTGTTTATATTTGTGTTACTTCTCTGTGGTTAGGTTTCAGTTATGTTTGCCTTAAGATGGCTATAAGTTTAGGACTAGATATCAAATAAACTCCCAATTAGCTTAAAGGGCAGCCTAGCCTTCTTGCAGTGACTAATACTTCAAAAATGAAGGAAGGTGAGAAGATTTTCTTTGCTGATAGCCTTTTCCGAATTCAGCGTGAAAAATACTGGGTATTTTCTATAGTTTTGGCCGTTTAGGGGAACCAAACAAATTGTTAAAAAACCCTACTATCTCATCATTTCAGTAAACTGTGATATTATTATTTTAATAGAAGTTAAATTGATGTCAAGAAAAAATTGACCGCAAACAAACATTTTTGGGATAGATTTACATTGACCAAAGAATACTTTCAAAGTATAGTGCAGTGATAAAGTTCCCCGAGCAAAGCTCGGTCCCCAGGTACTTTGATTTATGTGAAAAAGCAACCATTTTGGAATACCCACCATTTTGGCTAGGGGTGAGTTATTGACCTCGGGTTTGCGTCATTGTGTTTCTTTTGACAAGCCCTTCAAAATGAGGGGTCAATATTTCTATCTATTTTGGTTTTAAAAATACAGATTTGTTTCAAGACTTAATTTACACACTGTATAAAATGTAAAAGTGAACGTAAGAATATTGTATTTGTACAAAAATTTAGAATCACGTGAAAATAAAAGAAATTAAAAATTGACAACGAGAAGTATCACTGAAGAATCTGTTCAATAAACATTAATACACTAAAATCATAACCCTAAAATCTACAACCAAAGTTCTCTCTCTATTATCCGGGAACCGTACAACATAAAACAATATCGTGATTAGCCTAATCACAGAAAATAATTAGTATTGAAGGATAGGAACAAAATTACGATACAATGTTATCTTAATGTTGGAACTAAAAGTTTTTAATTGTAATGTTTTAATAGTGTAAAATATTAATCAAGACAACTTTTGAACTTTTATGTGAAAAATAGCACAGGCATTAAAATGATTATTTACACAAACTGGAAAACATTTTTTTACATTTAAGTGTACCGAAGTATAGACAAAAGCAAATCAAAGAAAGACCACAACACAGAATATTCCATTTACTTTATTTAGTACACAGTAATATAACTTTTATTTATGAGGATATACTGAAGTTACTTTCAGAAGAAGTAGAAATATAGAAATATTACAGTCTAGAATGAACAATGAAATTCACAGAATGACCAGAGCTACAAAAATAAGTGAAAATACACCACTTAACTACACAATGTAAGAGGGTCAAAAGAAAAAAATAACCTTTTCACAATAAAAAAATAATTTACGACAAACAAATTTTAATCTCTGTAGTTGCTACTTGAATACTGTAGTACTAATGTAACGAAACACAGATTTGAATTAGTCTACTACTTCTGACAAACATAAAATCCTACTTACTGATGCTCAGTGCCACAGTTAAATAAATAAAACTACACTCACGTCTACAACACTAACAAAGTTACCTTCAATGGTGAACTGGCGAGCCAAAGGGTCAACGGGGAAAAAACAACATTTATTATGTTTTCATCACACCAATGTTGACACATAATGATATATCAGTGGAGTGTTGACCCAAGAAACATTTTATTGAGTTTAGAAGACCTTACTGTTTTTTTCCATCTTTATATCAAACTAAATTTACAATTAAGAGGATAATAACTTGCTGTTACACTCACATTTCTAGTATAGTATTTTGATCATAGAACTACACTAAAATGACCAGGACAAAAAGAAAATGAAATGCCCAAAAAATAAATGAAAAATAGGCGGTTGATTTTTAAAGATTAAATTAAGTTTAAAACAAAATCTTTCTTTAAACCTGTTAAAATCTCAATCCTTACACATTTCACCTTTGAATTGCGATACACGATCAGTCTGACCTTAGCTTTTGTCTAGTGCTGGAAATTACCTAGATGTGTGAATTATGGCGTTAAAATTTCACCAGAGATTTTTACTGTATGACAAATACGAGTGTAATTAAATAAAAATACATTAGGTAGTTTTAGTTAAGTGACCTGATTTACGTTTTCACCTTGTGATTAGTTTTTTATTACCTTTATTACCTCATGTGCAATAACATTCCAAAATCAATGAAACTATTGGTGGGTTAGGAGTCTTTTGTACACCAATATTTCTTTTGTTAATTTGAGTTATAACGGACACCAAATAGTAAAAAATGTATACATATTAGTAATATTTAAAGATGGATGACTACGCTGCTGTTATATATAAAAAGGCATTTATTAACTAGCTTAAGTACTCTTCTAGCTTACTTTTTTTTCAATTAGCTATTATATTTAAGGGAAAACTGTTTTTATGTTTATAACATGAATTTATATACAGGGTGACAAATAAGTCTAAGGATGACTTTATAACATTACGTACAACAAAAAGACATATCACAACCAAATTTGGCATGTCATTCATTACTGGTAAACTATTTTTCTGTGTACATGGTGATCGGATGTCACTGACAGGGAGTAAGTTGAAAATCTTAAAGGTAAGCATATGTTGTACATCAAATTAAAGGTCTTGTTGAACTAAAAACAATGCCGCAAACCAGACCTCAAATAGGCAACTGAGTCAAAAGTGGCAGCCGTTCAAAGATTTCTTGAATCTCCCATTTTGAATCTTTAAACGGCTGCCATTTTTTTCTCAGTGTTTCAAATGAGCTTAAAGACCTTTAATTTGATATGCATATCGACCTATGCTAAAGTTGATCATTTTCTCCCATCTTCTGGCAGAAGCCTCCTGAAGAGGTAGCGTATAATACCATTGCAAATTCAATGAATCTTTGAGCAGCTGTCATTTTTAGCTTGATTGTCGATTTAAGTTCCGGTTTGCGGCATTGTTTTTAGTTTAACAGGACATTTAATTTTAAGTACATGTCGACCTAGGCTTAACTTAAAGATTTTCAACTTAGGCTACTCCTTCAGATTTATCAGCTGACAGATGTTTTAAATAGTTTTATTGAATTTTGGTTGCTATGAAAAGAAAAATAAACAAAGAGACATTCTTTTAGGCTTTTCAACCAAAGTGGTTCATTTTTATTTGCTCTAAACAATTAATTGTTAATTACTTGTAAAAGTATGATAAATTAAACAATAATATTTAGTGGAAACCTCTAGTCTTTTATTTAAGGTATTTCTCCTATTTAAATGAGGTTCTTTTCACTAAATCCTTAAGGGCCGACACCCCCATAAGTGACATCCGATCACCATATACACAAAAAAGTAGCTAACTATTAACAGTAATGATATGCCAAATTTGGTTGCGATATCTTTTTTTGTTTTATTAAAGTTATAAAGTCCTCCTAAGACTTTATTATCACACTGTATAACTATTGGTAAATAGCATAAACTGGACAAGAAAAAAAAAAGGTTTTGAATATCATTAGGAAATTTTACTCAGAATCGAGGAAGAACAGTGCAGACACAGGACTGACTTACCTTTACAGAAGGATAAAAGGCTTTCCCTTTCATAAATATGAACTACTTGAAACAAAAATACGAGCAATGATATGGGGGATAGTTACCCTAATCTATATCAGCTCATTCAATTTTATAGAATCTTACCTGTCTTTCTTATGTTTCTTGGAGCGTTTCTTTTTCTCTTTCTTCTTATCTGGAGTGGAGGATCTGCAAACAAAGTAGCAGGTGAAGATACCTTGTGAGAAATTAAAATACAATGCGAGGGCAATGAATGAATGAGTAATAACAAAATATGCAAGATTAAAATGGTAAACAAAGCAAAAAAAATTCAAACATAGATTAAAAAGTTTCTATGGTTAGCTATAACAACAGGTGCAAACCAGAAATCTTGCTGAGACAATTTTCCTGATCCCTTTTCTGAACTTCCTTTTTACCATAATAATATAATTATATAGGGCACCTAAAAATACAAAATTTATTAATTTAATGATTTTCTTTGATATCCAAACAAAAAGCTAGGTTAAAAGGGCTATGCCTGTACAAAAACTGAAAATGAGTAAAGCCTAAAAAGTGTTCAATCTTAAAACAAGTCATGAAATGCTAGAGAAGAGGTGTGCGGTGCACCGAAAAAGTTGGTACGATACGGTACAGGACTTAATATTTATTGACATCGGTTCGGTACATTTTTTTTTCTGTACAGATTCGGTTCCGTACAGCTTACTACATTGGATTTAATTAACTATCACAGTCAACGGTAGTGTTGCTCAAGTCAAACAGTAATCACAAATTAATGAGGCAAGCAAGATTGTGAAATAGATTATTCGTCGCCTAACAAGTGAGCAGACAGTGTGACGTAATGTCCTGAGTAGTTGTAATGGGTTATTTATTGTATTTAAAATATAAATAAATTTGTACTATTATTATATATGTTGTTTCATTATATCCCCCTTGACCCTTAATTGAGTTTTCATATGAAATAGAGAGCCCATGCTGCTCCACAGCTTTAAAATAAATAAAATATCTGATAAATAATCAAATTTACTATTTTTGATCGAGTATACAGTAGGTTACATACTGAGTTATTGATGTTAACTGATGTTACTGAGTTATACTTGAAGACTTTTAAAAATTTTAGATATTAAGGAAATTGAGATATTAAGGTTGAAGTTAATGAGGTCGTACTGTATAGGGTTATTATATAAACAGCACTGATAACTTTCTCACAATTAGATGCCCACTGTAGATATGTATAGGGTAATTATTTTTGTATTTACTAGGTGTTAGTTGGAGTTACCTGTCTCGCTTGCGACGTTTGCGTTTGGCTTGGGTAGAGTCAGGTTGTGGGGCAGGGACAGGGCTGGGAGTCCGCACCAATGTGTAGCCCTGATTGCCATCTTGTGCTCCGCGCCGCGCCAGACTGCTGCCCTCCACGAATGTATCGCTGAGGCCAAACGCTGCTCTCAGCCGAGCATTCTTCTCCAGTTGCGCCTCTGCCATCTGGTGAGTCTCTTTCACACTGAAACCAAATATAATATTAAAATCAGTAAACATCAGAACACCAATATTTTATAAAATTGTTATAAAAAAATCGAATGCGACGTTAAAAAAATCGAATGCGATGTTAAGTGGTTACAAAACAAATTATTTCCAATACCTTGATTCCCTGGATCATTTTAATCTTCTCAGAACACTATTTACAATTAATTTGCTTCTAATCAACAATAAAAGGCATGGCGATTCTTTTCAACAATTGTTACAACTAAATAATTTTCATTATGGAATTTCAAGATATACAACAGTTAAAACAGGTTGAACACTGTTTTACAAAAACACTAATTCATTTTCTATTTTAATCTTCTTCTTATAATAAGGGTTGTTATTTCCATGTAAATAGAAGGAAGCTTACTTCTCCACTAAGAATGGCAGCAGAAAATCTTACACAAGGCAGACAACCATTGGGGAGCACAAGACTGTGATGGAAAGATCAGGTGCAGAAGGACATGCTGAGGCTAAACGTAACACCAGATCTCATGCAAGACTGAAATGGATGGCGAGTAGCTGTTGGCAAGGCCAAAAACCTTTTGGGGTTTGAGTGGCCGCATAGGTAACGTATTATAAAAGGGGAAATGGGAGATCATCCAAGGTTTTTTTTAGATAGCAACAAGTTCCTATTCTCTGAGAGAAGCTATGTTCTCTTAAAAACTGAACTGGGAGAGAAAGTGTAATTTCCAAAGATATAACGATTATAATTTTAAAGATTCTACAGGGTAAAAAGGAGGAATCCATCGTACGGGGAAAGAAGTGTAGTGCCACCAGGACTACAAACATACAAGGGCTAGCCCAGTCCTTTGTCTTGAAGTGAACGCGTGCCGCCTGATGCTGCCCCCCCTCGCCCTGCGCACCCCACCTTCTACCGCTGTGACGTAGCAGTGGGAGCTGCCGATAGACACTGCCATTGTAACACATGCTTTTACGCCTGCAGTTATCTTCTATTTATAACGTTTTTACATAGAAATATTATATTGTTTGGTTATGATTTTATTTTACACGTAATAGTAGTTTCATATCATGTAGTTTTAAAGAGTATTTTACACCATGGTGGGCTACAGTGTTGCAATTTGTAGGAACTGCTCTAATACAACAAAAGATGTAGTGTATCACGTTTTTCCAAAAAATCTAAGTTTGAGAAATGTGTGGGTAGAGAAGTGTAAGAGAGCTGATGTTTTCGATCCACAAAATGGTAGTGTGCAGTGAAAAGTTTTTGGAAAGTGATTACTGTATTTATACGATTTAAAACCCCAACTTCTCAGATAATACTAAAGGAAGGTGCCTAATTTAGAATATAAGTATATAATATAGGTAAATTATCACCTACCTTAGAATATAGGTGGGTGATTGTTAATGAAAGAAAAATAAGGAAAGTAAAATGAGGAATTAGAAAAACTGCTCTTGAAACAATAAAATCTCTTAGCCCAAAAAAGTAGCCCGCGTTAAACAATCAATACGCCAATTACTAGCCCAAATAACAGTCGTATCAAACAAATGATTTTATAAACTTATTTTTAATTCATTCTTTTTTACATAACATCACCTTTGTCAGGAAAAAGTTGACTTTTATTGAGTTGTAAACGTGTGTATACGTGAAGTTTACTAAAATTACGAAGAAATAACCTAACCATTATTGTTCCTGGGGATTAATTAAAAAATCCTGTAAACAAAAGGTCTAAATGAAAATGTCTATAATAAAATGTTATTTGTGTTTTGTGTCAACTGTATGTGTGTTTTATTTACTTATTTCATCAAAAGAAACTGAGGTTAGTGTAAGCATAGAACTTGAATCACTCTAAATAAGTAATTAAGCTAAACAGATTATTTAGTTTAGGCTAAAAATCCATAGTGTTTGTATTTTATTTGCATATCACAATTTACTGTTAAAATGTTAGGGCAGATAAATATACTAATTGTCTCTTAGTTAATTATTTTATAACAATACCACTAGTTCTATGAATATCGCCTATTTGACAGTATTATTTTCTGTATAAAATATTTAAAAAAATATTGTATTATCATATAGGTAACTGTCAATAAATACGTTATGAAAAACTGATATAGTCATAAATCTGGATTATTAGAACAAAATTCACGACAGAGCGAATGCAAACACAGGTATGACATACTGTACTGCTGCACGGGACACCTCCCGCCGCTACGTCACACCTGCCCGCGAGGGGAGGGGGGCTGGCATCACTTTTCGAGCGCTAGTGGGTTAGCCCTTCTATGTTTGTAGTCCTAGGGTGCCACAGCAAAAGTAATACAACAAAATTATAAAAATAAGTTAGATGTACAGGACGTATTTTGGAAAGTTATGTATAATTGAATTTTGAATATTACATTGTATGTATTTGTTGACCAAATCTATCTATATTATTAATATTCTTCATGAAACTTTGTAAACAATAAGACTTTTTTGTTTCAATATTCAACCCCACATATTTTAATACCAAAATGTTCCTCTAGGTGTGTAGACTTGTAAACTGACCTTACATTTTTGAAAAAGTCCCTTCTACTCTGCCCCAGTGACTTTTAAAGTTCCCATGTTATCCTTATGAAGAACACATTTTTGTTTACATTATGATCAGCTGGATAATTCAATTGCTCTTCATATTTTAGTTGAAATGGAAACGTGTGCTACAAACATTTACTGACTTGGTTGAAATGAAATATTTACTATTTGAATTTAGGTACGTTTATTTGTTTACTACATTTGCCTAAAAGGTACGTGTGGTTAGGGATAATGTAGCTGTTGAAGTACCTGTTTATTACTTTTTAATATGTTTTGGATTAGCAAAAAAACATGAGAACATACAACCCTCATTCAGGTATTTCGAATGGACGGAAGGGGCAAATATGAAAATAGGACTACAAAATTAAAAAATGACACAATCAAAACAGTTAAAGACCACATATCATCGTTCAAGGGACGAAAAAGCCATTACTTTTAAACAAAAAATGTACATTATATTTGCCGGAAAATCGAAAAAAAATGTATGACAAAAAAATCAATCCTTTAGTGGAAATATCCTACGAGTCATACAGAATTATTTTAATGAAAGTTTCAATCTGGCTTTTGGATATCCTAGATCCGATACATGTGACACGCACTCAGTTAATGTCCGATGTATCGAGTTAGACATTAAAGATTCTAACAGTGAGGAATAAAAACAACAACTATTGGAAAAACTTTGAAAAGCAGAAACCCATATTAAACTACACAAGGCAAAGGCTAATGTGTTTTACGGAAAAGAACATCTAAAAGAAAGAAAGAAAGAGTTTGATTTCTCCATAAATATACAAATATGTACATAGAGAATAGTCATACATTGATGATGAGTAAGTACAATGTCATCTCAAAGCTTAAACTAACTTAGGACTACTGTTAAAAAACATCATTCAAAGTATAAAATGCATTGTCATACAAATACTACCTGACCTTCTTCAAAAAACAATTGTTAATGTCTGTGTCTTTTTCTAATAATAAGAATTTATCAATTAGGCCTACCCTACAGGTCATATAATCAGGAGATTTTTCAAATCTTGCTGTTGAGTGTGAGGGATATATTATGAAATTACGTTTTGAGTTATACGCATTTGTGTGATTTTCAAAAAGGATTTAATTTTCTTAAAGTATTTACATAATTCATAAATATAAAGATAAGGTAAAGTTAATAGTTTTGATTCTTGAAATATTTGTTGACAGTGCTCATCTACCGGAATATGATGCAAAACTCTAATGGCCTTTTTCTGAATTCGGAATATTCTATAAGTTAATCTAGATTGAATAGTTGCAAAAAAAAGGTTTATTAACTGAGGTAGTACTTTAAGAGCAAAACAAGAAGAATTTAATTTTTTTACTTAAAGTATCAATATGTATAGAAAAATCTAATTTCGCATAGATGGTTACCCTTAAAAATTAAAAAAAAAATTTAGTTTTACTTGAATTTTGTTAAGGTTTACAAGTTTAGAATTTGATTATTTCAGTTTTGTTTTCATTTTATTTTAATCCATTTTATTTAAACCAAGTGCTTGAATTTAAAATGTAATCCTCAATATTAAAACCAAGACCACCGGAGATCAAGACCACCCTTCTTGGACTACTACAGTAGTCATCAGCATACTGAATTGTTTTTGAAAAAGTGGAATTAGCATTTATGGGCAAGTCTGCGACATAAATTAAAAAAAGAATCGGCCCTAATATTGATCCCTGTGGGCATCCTGTATGGCAAATATTCCAATCGGAGTCATATGAGCCACTTTGGTCATTTATTCGGACCAACTGAAAATGTTTTTCAAAATAAGATTTAATTAAGTTAATTGCTTGTCCTCTGATTCCATAATTTTCCATTTTTTCTAGCAATATGTTTCTGTCAATAGTGTCAAACGCTTTTGACAAGTCACAAAAAATTCCTGCAGAAGAGGTTTTACTATCCATATTCTTAATTATGAAATTGATAAATTTTGAAACTGCATCTATGGTTGAAAGATTTTGCCTGAATCCAAACTGTTCTTTGTTAATTATTTGATGTTTTTCAAAGATAAGGTAGAAGTCTGTTTAAAATTATTCTATTATAGGTCGATAATCATTCAAACTTTTATCTTTGTTTTTCTTAATTGGCTTCATGATGGAGTACTTCAGCAGATCCGGGAATATCCCCAACATTAAGCACTTATTGAATATGGAGGCCAAATGGGAGGCTAAAACTTCACCATAATAAATTGAATCCCAAGTGGAATGGGGAAATTTTAAATTATCAAGTACTTCAAATAATAAAGGTTCGTTTTATGAAGGTTCGTCCTAACCGAAATGTAATTTATAGAGGTTCAATTCAGTGCAAGCAATAAACATCAAGAGAATTTATTGCCTTTTAAAATATGTTGTGCATTGTATTGGAATGGATAGTAATGCAATTATAAAATGTAATACATTACTGTCATTTTTGGAAGCAGTACTGCTCAACT